TACTGGAGCCATCCTGCTGAAGGGGTGGATGGCTCAGGGCAGCTGCCAGGAACGTGCAATTAAACACACATTGTTAATCTTTCTTCAGTGTGCTGGGACAGAAGGATCCTGGTACTGTTCACACAAGCACACACAGCTCCAGCACGCCTGGACACTGCACAGAGCTGGACAAAACAACAGGTGGTATGTCTGGGAGATGCTGCAGCACGTTTTTAATTAGAAACACATAAAAAAACCCTCTGTAACAGACAGGGCCTACCTCAATATGTTCAGAGCACTGGCCTGGGTGCCACAAAACATGAATTAGGAGTCTGTCTTCACCATGCAACTCCTGTCTCCCTGATCTTTAAAGCAGGGATGACTTTGCTCAGGCAGAGATGGTGTAGCTCATAGCAGACAGCTTTGGGCATCAGTACAGTCTCTATACTGCAGTTCTCCAGACACCCAGAGAAAAGCCAGACCCTCCAGAGGATAACTCAGAGGAGGAGTCTGAGCTGTGACTGCACCTTCAAGTTCCCCTTCTTGCAGCTGAGAGAGCTGAGGGGACCAGGATCATCCCAGGGCAGGGTACACAGCCTCTGTCACAGCTGAGGCACTGCAAATATCTGGCAGTAGGAGCTTCCTTTCCCACCTGTGGATGACAGATGCTACTTCAAAAAACCCAACCAACAGAAACAAACAAACCTGCACAGTTATTAAGGTAATTTCTGCTCTGCCTGGGGTTACTGATGCACTCAAACACCTGCCAAACTTGCCAGCAGCGCTGTCTTTGAGCAGAGCCTTTGGAAAAGGCAATGGATCACTTTAGTACCGTGTTGCCAGGTCAGCAATTTGCTACCAGGGAAAGGAGCAGGTGCTTTTGCATCCTCAGTGCTGCTGCAACAGGAATTACCTTTGCCAGTCAGGGCAAACATAAAGTGACCCCCGAGAGTTCAGCCAATCTGAAACACTCACTGTCACTGATACGTTTTAATGACATTTTTTAGTTGCAATTGCCACATGCACATGTGGTGCATCTGTTGCAGAAAAACATGTTTTTGGTCATTCTAACACATCCTTAATCAGATTTTCATGTACAGCTATCAGCACATACACACAAGGGATGGAGCAGCTACTCCAAGCTCTTTGCTGTTTTTCCAGCCCCTGATCATCTGTCACATGAAGTGAATGTGACACTTGCATTTCTAAATATCTACACTTGAACAGTATCTGGGATGAAACAGTCTCCTATGTTTTTGTCCAAGCTTGTGCTATTGTCCCTAGCCTAAGACTGCTGCATCAACATATTGCAAAATACGGGGGTGACACTGGGCAATACATGACTAAAACCACAGAAAAACCCTTTATGTATCTGTGCAAATACATTTACCAGAGGGAATCCTATTTCAAACCACTTAGAATCTGATGCAAGGTTTACAAATTCACAGCAGAATTTTACTTCTAGACTGGGAATAAAAACAAGCATCAAACAGATTAAAAAGTTTCCTGTCAGTGTGCAATGTTTTGTTGCTGGTTCATTTTATTCTGGGAAAGAGCTGCAAACCTGTTAGACAGCAAAGAACAAAAAGCTCATCAAGGCTGGTCTCTGGAGGACAAGATGCTGTAGGGACAGCCAAGCATACAGCAAGGTTTGGAAAAATGCTGCTATGCAGCCACAGTGTTTTGTTCTCAAAGAAAAAAAATCCTAAAGAAAATTAAACTATTAAAAGTGTCCTGATTAAGTGAATAGATGGCCCCAGACAGGTTTGCATTATAAACATTAATTGCACATTAGCTCAACTAATTAAAAAATAAATACTGTACACGGCAGGAAGCTCCTTCTTAAAAGCAACTTCTGCCTTGGGAAATGAGCCAGTTCTTTTTTAAAAAAACAAAAACACAAGCCCTGGAGTGTCAGCGAAATGCCTGTTTCAACCAGGGAGGCTGAGAACACCATGGGGCAGATATTACTGCTGTGCTGAGTGTGCAGAGCCAAAGTGGCAGCAAACACCAGGAAACACTTAATGAAAGGATCTCTTCATTCCCTCTTACTGCCCAACCCAACTGAAAGCCTCAGATACCACGAAGGAAACAACACAAAACCAAAAAACAGCTCGCTTTCTGGACTTGGGCACAGGGTTGGAGCAGAGGCTTTGGGGAGCCTGTGGTGGGGGGAAGGTTGCTCTTTTCCAGGTGCTGGAAACTCTGGGGCAAACCCAGCCTTGTGCAGGTGTCTCAGCTTCTCTCTCACAGGCAGAATAGTGCCAGGACAGCCAGGGGCTGCCTCGGGGGCTGCCCTACCCAAACCCCAGCAGGACCCTCACTATCAGCACAGCTTCAACAGCGTGCTCAGAGCCTGCTTGGGGCACACTTCAGCACAGGAGCCTGCTGCCCGCTCCCTGGGAAGTGGTTTCCAAGGAACCAAGCAAGGCAGGAGATAGTCAGGCTCTTGCAGCTCAGCTGAGGTCAAGACTGAAGGATTTTGATGACCTGCTTTGACTGTGGGAGACGGTGGTGGTGCTGATAAGCACCGTGAGGCTGAAAGATGCGATAAAAAAAGGGAAAAGAAATAAACCTAAAACCTCCCTGCAGCACATCACCAGAGCAAAGCTTACCTGGCAGGAGCCAGGCTAGCACGTGGATGGCCTGAATTCCAGGCCAGTGCTCAAAACACAGGGTATTTTTGCATCTAACGAGCATTACTAGCCAGATTCCCACTTGCTTGTATTTTCTTAGTAAACATGCATATGCAGGAATAAGAGATTAAAGGTGTTTTCAGACACGAATATTAGCTTTCTATACCTGTGTACACACAGACAAAACCTTTGCTTTTTTAGGCAGAGAAGCCCAGACACTTTCACCAGGGTGACACTAAGTAGTTAATGCAATACTAGATAAAAATCAAGATGCCACATCAATTTGTGTGAAAAGAGTTGTACTGATATATCTGGGTTCACATCCAAGTTCTGCCATAGACTAGCTACATAACCCCAGGCAAGGCAGCTCCTTTCTCTACTCCTTAGATCCAGGAAAAGCTATTTTTCTTCTGTCTTTTATCTGTTCTCCATTTAGCTCTGGGGAAGCCACTTGTGCAATCAGCCTTTGTAGCACTGAACACATAAAAGATCCAGTCTCAATTTAAACACTAGTGTAATGCAGATAATAAACAATCATCATTAAGCCATTAATTCACTTAACAGCCTTTTTTTCTCTTTCTGCCAACACACTTTCTGAGTTGGAAGGGGTTTTTTTCAGCAGGGAGGTAAATTTGTAGTGTCTTGCAAATGGAAAAATTATGTGTCTGTGTATTCATAATATTGAGTCATAGTAATAAAAGACTATTTGATAAATTTCTTGACAAGCACCACAGATCTTCATGTCATGCCACATCTTAACAGCCAATTCTGTTGAGGGGACCCAGAGGAATTTCAGAGCTAGCTTGGATGCCATTTAGGTTTCACTGACAATCAAAAACCTGCTATCTAAACACACTAACTGCAGTATGACTTCCACTGTGCATGTTATCAAATACATATTAACCTCCTCTCGGGATATAACATCCCCCAGCACTTTATTTCTTGCAGGGGAGAATGTCATATTTGTGCTAAGCCTGAGGGGATGTTTAAGCTCACTGGGAGGGAACAAATGCATGCCCAGAAAGCCCAGGGCTGGTCCACAATGTGTGGAAAAGCCACACAAAGCAACTCCACCATGCAGAGTCTGGGGGAACCAGCAGAGCAATATATCCTAAAAGAAACAGGTCAGTGGGAGACACAGCCAGCCATGCTTAGCCCTGCAGCTTTCATGGGTACATAAATCCCCACGTGGCAGGCTCCTGAGGTGGCTGAGCACACACAGGGGCTCTGAGGCATGCAGCCAGTGCCAGGCTAACAGCACAGCCCAGGAACACAGAGGCAGAACCTTTTCTCAAACTGTCTCACCAGTTTATACACCACTTATGCACATAAAACCTTCCCTTCTACTCTTCCTTCAGCTGGTCTAAGTATCACCTCAGAATCCCTGCTCCTTCTCCAGTACAGCTATGGGTGAGCAGCTTCAACATCATCATGAAGCTCAGCTTCCCTCCCCTTCACACCAGCTCTTAAACATGCTCAGTGTCGTATTCCTGGCATAATTTCTCCCTTCTTGTGTTTGTCTCCATGTTACTGCACTTAAAAACCTTTCCATATCTTGCTATTTCCTCCTTGTCCAAAGCCAAGCTCTAAAAATCGCTGGTGTTCTCTACAGTCACATGGACACAAACACTAAAAGCGTGGTTTATGTCATATAATGAGAACAGAAAATAGCCAAAATGTGCTTGCCCAGCTCAGCTCTCACTGGAAAGCTGAGAGGAATTCATTGCTTCCCACCCCACCTCCCCAAATCCCTGCTGCAGCAGCTGCCCTGGCGCAGGTGAGCACAGACCCATCAGGCTCCCTGAGTGTTCTCAGAGGCACAACACAGAGTTAATGCCCTGAGGAGAAGCTCTGGATGTTTCACACACAATGGAGAGCTTCACAAAGAAGCTTCCATGATTAATGGGAACTCTAACACCATGGGAGCTAAAGACCCTCTGCTCTCAGCAGACTCTTAAAGCAGTCTCTGTGCAGAAGGAATCAAGCCAGAACAACACAGTATTTCCAGTACCCTTTCTGATCTTCCATAGAGTTTAGTAAAATATCTGAGATCCCAATGACATACTGGCTTTGTGCTAGGCATGGGAGACATGGAAGAGAAGTCAGACTGCTCTCAGCAGAAACCATTCTTTGTCAGTGATTATTTTTTTATTACAGTTCCAAATTTAAATTCAAAGAAACTTGCATCTCAAGTGAATTCCTGTAATTAGATTCCAACAACTGGCTGGTACTTAAGTTTCATTTAGAAGTATCACAAAACACAGAGATAATTATCAGTGTTATGTGTGTTACCCTTTTAGAGGGACCCTTTTAATAAATTTGAAAAGAATGAAACCCCACAAAAGGGTAAGGACAGTAGAAATGGCAACAAAACTCTTGCCTTACCTCACTGCATGCAGGTGCACCAGAGGAAGGCAGAAGCCACTGCCATGGTGATTCCTGCACCTGGAGGTATCTGGATATGTGGAAGGTTGACAAGCTGCAGTCTCAAAGTGCTCTAGCTCACCAGCATAATGGAAAGACAAGGTTTAGCTGTGGGAGAACAACATGGCAACTGTTCACCACATCACATCAGTTAATTGCATCCACATCCTGCACCTTTCCCTGGGTTCCTCCCAGCCTCCTGCTGTCAGCTCTTCCCCCTGCCAGCAGCAGATTATGTTCCTGAGCAGTTGTGGAGGCAGCCAGTGGGGTTCAAAGAAATCCCCCCCATATGCACATCCATCCACCACAGCCATCCCACCTTTCCCCAGCCCTCCCCACCTGATTGCTTTACATTCTGAGGAAAACAGCTGTGGGAAGAAACTAATTTTTCCCTTGGATATCTGCCCGTGGGATTTGGGGGAGGAAAAAGACAAGGAAAGAACTGTTCTGTTTCTCCATTCCTGCCCGTGTTTCCAGACTGCCAGCTCATTGTTTCCTCTGCTGCAATCCACCATGTACCTGCATTCACTCCCCTTGCTCCCAGCAGTTTATTCCACTCCACATTCATGCCCAGTTTTGTTCAGGTCCCACCCAATGCTCCCAGGACTTTTCAGATCCCAGACTGTACAGGTTTAAAAATACTCTTGTGGGACACTGAGGTTTGCCTCTCCTGCTCTTCTGGAGGAAGAAGCAAAACAAGTGCCTGCCTGAATCAAAATCAAAGAAGAAGGACCTGGACCTCTGTCCCTCTCACACCCAGCTGAGGCAGCCTGTGCTAACAAACTAACATCCTCCATTCATGCCATTCTCTGCCAAGGGAAAAGAGTTAATGTCAGCTATTTAAAAATTACTAGCATCCATAACAGTACACTTCCCAGAGACAAATAATGCTAGCGCTGCTAAAAGAGTATTGATTCCATAAAATGATCAGAAGGGAGTGCTTAATTATTTCCTGAGGAAAGAAAAAAAACATGCTAATACCACAGATCTCCATTACATAAGACCATTTCTAAGAATAAAAGCCTTCATGTCAATTCTAGGTCTTCCTTCTTTCACAGCCAAATCCATATTCTTTAGACAGTTTGTTACAGCCTCTCATAAATCCCTTTATAAATTTAATGCAAACTACCCATTTTTAATAAGCATTTTAATTCTGATGTGGGTTGTGTATTCTCTGAGGCAGGCATATGCACCAAGGGCATTGTGTGTCTCCTGGCTGATTGCAGGAATGACTTTAACACACACACTAAATGAAAACCATAGCAATAAGTCTAGCCTAGGATTTGACCCCAAGTTACTCTTTTCAGATGCAAATCTTCATGCTACTGTGTATGTTGTTGTTAATAACTGCCAAGAAATATGTTTTAAAGAGCAGAGAAAAGTAATTATTAAGGGGATGGGGGAATGTGTTTGAGAAGAAACAAGGATTAGTGAGGCATCCTGACCCAGGCAGAAATCCTGAAGGATCCAGTCTGCATCTATTCACGAGGGGCTGGCCAGAGGTGCTCACAGATGTGACTACAGCCCCTTACAGACAGGAAGGAGTACTGCTCCAGCAAGCGAAATACACAGCCTGGGCAGAGTTAGATTTCTCCATTCTCAGAGTAACTTAATTAAAAATCTCCAAGTATCTAAAGAACAAGAAGCTCATTGTTTCAGGATCAGCACAGGAATCCATCAGGGATGGCCAAATCCCCCTGCAAAGAAGAAGAGATGCCGTTTGCAGGGAGGTTTTATCTGATTTCTGGGAAATATCAGCAGTCAGGAGGTCAGCACTACCTGGTTTGGGGGGTGCTGGAGGGAGGGGGGTGTGTTTTGGGAAAGGTCCAAGGGCTACAGGAGCCAGGGGTCAGGTTTAGCACAGTCTCATGCAAATGTAACAAAGTCTGTGTTTTGAACTCAGGGCTAAAAGTAAAAATGGTCTTATTGTAAAAACATGTCAGGTCAACCCCTTTACAAGTAATTACTGAAAATATGCTCTCCCCTAAAAGGAGAGCAAATCACAGAACAAATCAATATGAGGCCATATATAAAGAAAACAAAAAAAAAAAGAGTTTTCAATTTGTGATTTATGCAGAGAGAACTCATGCTGCCAGAGTTAAATTGCCCTTGCTATTGCTAAGAATCTATGGATGACAAAATCTTAACTCAGGAAAGATGCATCCAACACAGATAATTTTGTATTAGAGCTCATCTGTGTGATAAGGAGTAAATTGATCACAAAAAAAAAGTTATTATCCAAAGTAGAATGATCATTACTTGATTGCATTTTTCAAGTGCAAACAAAGAACTTTTTACTTTGCCAAGACTACTAATATACAGGCTTTCTGCTTAAAAAGGATCAATTTCATGAAGTTAGGAGAAGAGAAAAGGGAACAGAAGAACCAAACCAGTTGGGGGAAAGAATTTTATAAGAAAAATGTTACAATAATTGGGAACAGCTTAAGAACATTTTTCTGGATGCCCAGAAAAACCACAGTCTGAGGCAAAGAAAGCTGTAACTACTAAAATCTGAGCTGGCTTATGGGGAAGCAGAAGCAGGTATAAACCATATATAAAACAAATGCATAAAAGACAAAGTTCTTCATTTTAATGCAAGTCAGCATACAGAAAATGCCAAAAATTTACAGAAAGACCAAAGATTTCTCCTTTTATCCATCTGTGTTAAAAAGAAAAACAATGGAAGGAAATATATAAATATAATAGAAATAAAATGGAACTGTAAAGTAATACTCTTCCTCCAAGGACTGAAGTATCAAATGGGCAAAAGTAACACAGAAAAGGAAAATGTTTCCAGTAAACATATTGCCTGTATGTGAAGAAAATTAGCACAATACAGTGATATCAATGGGTGATGTTACCAGCAATAATAACAGCGTTAGAGGTTTCTGTAATTTCAGAAAAAGGTTTCTTTGAATGCTTACATTACACAGGAAAGACTTTCTAGACATACTTAAAGAAATGTAAATCAGCATCTCCTTGCTCTTGGCCTTTTGTTGATTCTCCACCAGAGATGTTATGAAACCAAAAGAGTTTTCACATCATCTAAATAGAGTTTATTTCCTCTCTAGCTCAGCAAATACTTGTATATTTCTGGTAAACCCAGCTGCCTAATTTGGCAAGGGTTGTCTCTTGCAGCTTTCAAAAATAAACAGAGACACATGAGGAAGCACCAGACTAACACACCAGAGAACATCCTTCTGTTCTCAATTTCGTGGAACACCTTGAACAGCATCATCCTCTTTCTACTCCTCCCTCTAAAAAAAGGCTTTATGAACTAGTGCTGTGAGAACTTCCAGTAAGAGAGAGCAGTCTTACTGGCACCAGGTCAGAAAGTTGTTAGCCTTTCTTAGCTTCCTTTTTGAGTTACCAGTGAGATTTTTGTGAATCCTTTCATACTGAAGATGGATAAATGCTTGAATAGAGGATTTGAGCTTTTCCTGTCTGCTCATCAAAGACTGGTTTTTGAAATAAGCACTTTTCCTGCTGAAGGGTTCTGGAGAACCTGGTGGCCTGAGCAGCTGCTGCTGTGGTGATTATAGAGCAGGAGACCTACTGAGGATTTGATCAATACCTGGGATTGCATCAGCTCAGAACTTATCCTCTACTATAAACTCATGCAGCTACCCAGGTGGAGTTAACTCAGCTTTGCAACTAAAACCATATGCAGAAAATCTGATTCTAATGGAATGAATCCATCATTCACTGGAGACCCCCCCTTCCCCTCCTCTCAAAGCTACCATTTTTCCATCATTGCTAACTACTACCTGTCAGGAGCTGCATTTGATTGAGATGCGGAGGCATCAATAAAATAATTGCTGATGTCAGGTAGCATTCTTTGCTTAGTGTTCATTACCATGTATGACTTAATTAACAATGCCTCCATATAAGAATAAATCAACTCTTTATTTTATTTACCTGATGTCTTCAGACAATTTCATGACTGTGACATGGGGGCTCCTTTATTGTTTCTTCCATAGCATCAGGTAGGTGCGAGGGTGGACTCAGTTTGAGAGTGAGACCCCCAAATCCCTGCTGGTAAGCAGAGGAATGGGGATGCAGATGATGTTTGAGCCAGTCTGAGTTTAGTGAAGCTTTAGAGATATGGCTTATGTAACAAAGGGATTAGAAAGCAACTTATTAGAAGTGCCACAGCACAAAGAAAATAAAACCTGGCAAATTAGATAATGTCATAGCACTGGGGACATACAAAGGGTCAAGATGATGTAGGAACCATCCCCTTACGACAAACTCTTGAACTTTTTTGAACTGAATGGACAATAAATGTGTTCTCTTAAAATTACACTTAGAAGAACTGGATGAAGCTTCCCTCCAGCAGAACTTCCACTTACAACAACTGAGGATCCCCGAGGTAAAAAGCAGAGCAAAAAAAGAAACCACATTTCTATGATGCACTCTGTTCCCACCAGAAGGGAACAGCAGATTTTCCTCTGCTAAGAATTTTAGTCAGACAATGGTCTCACCTATGCCCCTGCAAACTCAAAATTACTCATGCAATGTTAACAAGATAATTCCAGATTTGTACTCCTTAATGCAAGTTCCATTCCTGAGCTGTGTTACCTTTCCCCAGCAGAAAGGACAGCACCCCAAGGCAGAGCCTTTTCCTTCTCTCCACACAGAGTTGACACCAGCTGGGACAGTCACTGTGAAATTTACTACTCACATTCTCATTTCAAAATGCAGCTTAACCAGTGGCTCTAGACAGCAGAATAGATAATCAAAAGGCAGCTAATTGCAGAGCATCTCAAGGTCTGACAGAACAAAATCTGGGTGCCAGTGAAACACCCAATAGGAGCTGTTACAGAAGAAAAGCATTATTCCTCAGGCACAATCCAGACAGCATTAACAAGTAGTCACAGTGGGATTTCTTATTATTCACAAGAAAATGGAAGTGGTTTCATCATTTCTCAGTGATAGATAAAGCACACAGAAGCAAAAAGACAAGTGTGAGACTAGATCCAGCATTAAGCAGAATTAGAACTGCATGGACATCATCTGAACAGCTCACTGGTAAAAGCTACATTTGAAAAACAAATATTACATTTTTGAAGCCCTTATCTCATCCATACTTTCATCTCACATTGAAA